CATGCCATGCAAGGGCACATGAGTGCTGTGATGAGGTGAGGAGAGATTGGCATGGCAAAATGATGCATTGCCTACAACATAATGAGGTGCGGAAAAGCATTTGCCTCTGGCTGCTGTGACAAATTTTTAGACACATATGAGCATTGGTGAGAAAAGACCAGCCAGGCCTATCGGTAGCTTGACACACACGGCATGAACACTCCCCCTAACGTCACTCTCACTGCCCATCAACCACATGTGCGTTGGTGAGCACCAGCCGCCGAGCACCAGCAAGCACGTCCCTATGGGCAATGTGTGACTAACGTCCAATGCGAGACGGGTATCTGTTCCCATCCAGACGCATTCACGCTTCCTCATCCCCCTTACCATCACTCTCGCTGCTCCATCCACCACATGCGCGTTGGTGAGCACGAGCCGCTGAGTGCTGCTGACGATGAATCCGCTGCCGCTGGTGGGAGGAGACAGGAGGGGAAGGGGGGGAAGAAGGGAGGTAAGGACGGTTTGGAGGGCGCCTTGGATAGATATCATTCGTAGCCGCTGAGTGCTGCTGACGATGAATCCGCTGCCGCTGGTGGGAGGAGACAGGAGGGGAAGGGGGGGAAGAAGGGAGGTAAGGACGGTTTGAAGGGCGCCTTGGATAGATATCATTCGTAGCCGCTGAGTGCTGCTGACGATGAATCCGCTGCCGCTGGTGGGTGGTGTGAGCGGGGGGGATTGGTAGGATGGTGGGGGGAAGCAGGGGCGAGGGTGTTCGGGGTTATGGCGCTGCACAGTGGTGTTGACTGAATGTTGCAGGGCGTTTTTCAGAATTCTCAAAAACACCCTGCAACATCGAGGGTGTTTAAGGTTAGGGCGCTACACAGTGGTGTTGACTGAATGGTTATCGCACCACTGTGCACCACTGTGCAGCGCTGTGCAGCGCCCTAACGGTTATCGCACCAAGCCATAAGGTCCCTAATGGTTATCGCACCAGCGGCTGAGTGCTGCTGACGATGAACCCGCTGCTGTTGATGTGTGGCGTGCGCGGGGGAAAGGGGGGAGGGAATGATGGCTTGACTTGTGTGGCCGGTGTCGACCAGTTGCTGTACATGCCCGTCGACCACCCAAGTCGACGATCACCAGCTGACTTCATCAAGTCGGCCACTCTCCAGGTCGACCACACTGGTTGTTCGCCGACTCAGCCAAGTCGACTTCTCCAGGTCGGCCTCCCAAGTCAGCGTCCCCAAGTCGGCGCCGACTTCCAGGTCAATCCCCTGAAGTCGGCGCCTTCCTAAGTCGGCGCCGACTTCCCGGTCGATCACTTGAAGTCGGCGCCGACTTCCAAGTCGACGAGCCCCATCGTCGACCACTAGTTGAAGTCGGCCACCGACTTCCCAAAGTCGGCGGCATTGCAGTGGCCCCGTGCAGGTCGGTCAAACCCGTCGACCAGCTCGCCCAAGTCGGCGTCGCCCACTGCTGCAAGTCGGCTGTACCTCCCGTACACTCAACTACGAAGTCGGCTCCGCCCAAGCGAGGACGGGGCTAACACATAACTCCCGTCGACAGTGAAAGGCAAGAGACGCAAAGTGGGCGGCAGGCAGCAGTAAGGCTCACAGACTAAGTTTTTGCGTATGCCTCAGAGGCCTTGGCCTTGGCTTTCTCCTTGGCCTCCATTCTCCCCCTCTCCCTAAGTCGCCGTAGCCACGCCCCCACTTGAGGTTTGCCTTGTGCATTCAATGTGTGACATTGACAAGGACACTGGATAAAGGCAAGAGCAGCAAAGCGGGCTCTAGTAAGGCTCACACACTAGTTTCTGTGTACGCCTCGGGTGGTGCCTTGGCCTTCTCCCTCAGCTTTGCCTCCATCCTCCCCCTCTCCTTGAGCCTGCGCAGCCATGCCTCCACTCGTGGCTTGTGTGGCCATGAGGATGATGCCGGGCGAGTGCTGCCATCCTCCGCGCTGCTGCTGGTGCTGCAAGTGCTTGCAATCGAATCGGATCTCGCGAGGAACATCACGTCGTCTGCAGGAGCATCAATGGAATGGGTTGGTTGCAGGTGCACGGTGGGATGGGGGGGTGGATGAAAAGAGCTATGTGAAAAGGTGTGAAACGGGGCATGGACGGAGAACAAGGCGACTTCTGAGGCGCCTCAAAAGTGTGAAAGGTGTGAAAAGGGGCATGGACGGAGAACAAGGCGACGGGGGAGAGCAAAAGGGAACAGCACGTATGGGAGGGCTGCGGGCATGGGTCACAGTGTGTGGGAACAGGAGATGGCATGCTTCTATGATGTAACGATGCTCGCATAGCCATACTGCTGTAGTGTTGTATTGATCTGATCCAAACCCACCTGTCTCCCTCAACTCATCCCCCTCTCCACCATCCACACTGCCACTGCTGCAGCCCCCTTCTGCCTCCTCGCTTCTGCCCTCCTTGCTCTCTCTCAATTTGGCTTGTGGAGATGCACGAGGAAGGTGCCTGGAAGTGGGAGGGAGACACGCACGCGAGACGAGTGGTTTTTGAGGCGCCTAAAAAGTCACTACCGCCCCGCCCCTCTGCCTCCTCGCTTCTGTCCTCATCGCTTTTTCTCAAGGCGGCTTGTGGAGATGCCCGAGGAAGGTGCCTGGAAGCGGGGGAGAGACACGCAGGCGAGACAAGTGGCGGGAAGAAGGCGTGTCAGAAATCGAGTATGGTGTGCATGCGAGTGCGTTAGTTTGCAGGCAGGCAGGGCCTAGAAAGGAAGCCCATGCTTAACAAACGGAGAGGTTTTAAAGGAGGTGTTTCAAGCATGAGTAGCAGCACTCTGCAGCCACCTCTCTTACGCAGCAGACCCTTGCAAACCTTGTGCCTTGGGTTCCACTCAAGATCACCTTGACATCTATTTGCCAAAAGGACGAAGCAGAGCATCAGGGCATCACCTTTCCACCTCTAGTTGAACGACAGCTGGCGCAACGCGGTTCGCTGCAAGCCGAACGAATGCATTTGCCTTGATTCTCCTGCTCTGCTTGTTTCGAGGGGCTCCCACTTGGCTAGCTTGGACTGTAGCTAAATCAACTGTAGCTGAAGATTCAACTGTAGCTGAAAATTCAAGTGTAGCTAAAGATTCAACAGAAGTTGAAGATGAAACTGTAACTGTGGCTGCTACTGCTGGTGCTGCCCTCACTCCCATGGCTGCAGCACCCATCAGGAACAGACTAGACAGCAGCAGCGCTCGCACTCCGCCCCTCAGGAGTTTGCTGACATGGGAGAGAGCAGCAACGATGCCATTGCGACGGGAAAGAGCAGCGCGGGCAATGCGGCAGACAACGGTGGCTTGAACGGGCGAAACAAGCAGCGCCACCAGTGGCAGTAGCGGAAGCAGAGAAAGCACAGGCGAGGGGGAGACGACTGTCCGAGGCTCGAGCAGAGGCTCGGACCACCCCACTGTGACAGGCTTGGGTGGGGGAGGCTCGGGTGAGGACGGCTGAAGTGTGTCATTTGAACCCAGTCTCCCCTGTTGGAGCAACCATGTGAACGTGTGTGGAAAGGGGGAGGGGAGGGCGGAGAGGAGAGTGGAGATGGGACCCCCATCCTCCTGTGCGGGCGAGAGAGGGGTCAGGAGTGGAGGGGAGTGTAATGCGGTGGTGCGTGCTTGTTGTGTGAGCAGGCGTATGGGTGAATATGGTCGGTTCAGGGACGGATGGAAGGGTGCAGGGAGGCATGGGCGGGCGAGGAGCAGGGAGGGGGAACGAGGAGGCGGAAAGCAGCTGGAAGAACGAGGAAGCTGCTCTGAGGGTCGGACGGTGTCTGACGCGCGATTGTAGAACCTACTACGGACTCGAGGTGCGTTGCGAGGGTACTCCAGTCGAGTCTTGGACGCGTGGATTGTGCCTAATCCGAGCGCTGGGTGAGAAGAAGCCATGGACGGTGATCTGCGCACGAGGCGAGGCGAGTCAGGAACAAGCCGTCGAGTCTTGGACGTACGTCCGAGAACCGACGGTTAGATTGTGCCGCGCTTGATCATCCGAGAACCGGGTGAGAAGCCATTCACGTTGCTCTGCTCCGTGCGCGCAAACACGTCGCCGAAGCTTCTTAGAATCCACTCTTGAGCGAGATTCCACGAACGTGCTCATAAGTTGCTCATACGTTGCGCATGAGTTGACTCCTGATTACCACGCGCGCGGGGGGCATCACTGCCACGATAAAGCGCGTACTTCAAGTTGCGCGGCGAACAGTGAACTGCCGCGAGAGGGCTAGCACCGCAAGATGTTAATCGACCGTCCTATACGTTTCCTCGCTTGCAGATTCGCCAAAGCTGACTGATCAGGAATTAATCCGAGCCGCCCGTTTCTGCTGCTCAGTAAGGTGAAAGCCGTTGCTGTCTCAGTATAGTCTCTTGTTTCGATTGGATACAGGAGATAGGTGTGCGTTAAATTCGAAGATTTCCGTTACCTACACTGCCTGACGAAGAGTTCTCGATGTACGGGGTAACCGCTGGCAAACTCACAGCTTGCGAGTGTCCTTTTGGCTAGAACATTGCCAACGAAAACTGATGTCGAACGTCGCGAAACTTTGGTTCGGCAGGTCACAAACCCGGTTACATCTATCGCCTGGGTACCAGCCATCGGACTTGTGCAGTGTTCACATAGCTTCGCCCAACGTGTGTCCTCCACCCACCAGCGCAGGAAGTCATTCCGTGGTATTTGAGGAGTTGAGAACCACGCAAAACCAGCAAGCTGCAGTTGCCCGTAATATTAGCATTTAGCACTGAGCCTTACAACGTGGTATTTGAGGAGTTGAGAACCCGTCGCCTAGTTAAAAGCTGAACGACCAACCGTGACCAGCACTTGACTCGATCAATAGCCGACGTTGATCAGTTTACATCATTTCACGTTGTGCCGAGTGTAGCAAAATCACATTTTGTCTGTAGCAAGCTCGAACCCGTCTACGTGACAAATCGAGACACATACATCTCTTTAGCAGCCAACCATAGGCCGGTGTCGCGGAGAAGTTACCGTTGTAGGCAACCCGTTCCTGGGTGGTTGTAATGGCGCTCGAAGCGCCTCCCTTGTTCTCGTCGAAGTTCCTGAAAGCAAGGAAGACGAAAAAAACTGCTGGATCGGGACACGGAGACGACGCGGCTCCGAACGCTGCGAAGCGCACGAGCGTGACTTTAACGGGGACGGCCGACGAGGCCACCGATAAAAGAGCGAAGTCGTTACGAGATAGGTTACCAACAGAAGCAGGTCCCGCCAGTGCCGTTGCGAAGGGTCATGGTGCAAAGAAGCGTAAAGCACTGGGAGTTGACGAACCGAATAAGGCCAAGGCTAGTCGCACGGAAGTTCCTTCGTTAGGCTCGCATAGAAAAGCATCGGCAAATACCTTGACTGCGAGCAGGGTTCAAGGTGTAGGGTTTAAGGGGGAGAGGGGAGGAGATCAAGAAGGAGATTTGAGGGAAGAGGAGGTTTTGCGCGGAGGCGAGGATGCGCAGAGGGGTGATTGCGATAATGACGTGGATAAGATCGGCCGTACACGTGGCGGCGTCAGGGGCGGCGAGGAGGCAGGTGACGTCAGCAGAGATGGCACGCAGGCGAGGGAGCCAAAAGCCGGGAGGGGGCGCGGGGGACGGCGGAAGCGGGTGGGCGGGAGGGAGGGGGGAAAGGCGGGGGTTGATGGAGAGGCGGATGGGGAGAGGGAGGAGGGAGAGGAGGGTGAAGAGGAAGCGGAGGAGAGAGGGAAGGAAAATGGGGAGGAAGGCGAGGATGGGGAGGAGGAAGGAGAGGAAGAGGGGGAGGTGGAAGAGGAAGAAGAGATGGATGATGGTAGTGAAGGGGAGGACGAGGAGGAAGAGGGGAGGGCGGAGAAAGCAGAGGACGGAGGAACAGAGGAAGACGACGCAGCAGCAACTGCGCTGCTCGCCAAGGCTGACGTGTCTCTCTCAGCCACTGCCACGTGTGACTCATTTGCTGACCTGTCACTGGCCCCATGGCTGGTTGCCACGTGTCACGAGATGGGTCTGCGCCACCCCACCCCAGTGCAGTGCGCGTGCATCCCCCCTGTCATCGCGGGCAGCAACGTCATTGGTGTGGCTCAGACGGGAAGCGGCAAGACTGCTGCTTTCGCCCTGCCTATTCTGCAGGTGGGTTCTTCAATCTGAAAACCCAAGTCTTAAACCCTGAGCCTCGCTGCACAGTGCAGTGTGCGTGCATCCCCCCTGTCATCGCCGGCAGCAACGTCATTGGTGTGGCTCAGACTGGCAGTGGGAGAACGGCTGCTTTCGCCCTACCAATTCTGCAGGTGTGTATTTCAGTCCAAATCCCAAACCCAAAGTCTTAAAACCCTGAGCCCCCTTTCAGTGTGAGTGCACCCCCTCTGTCATCGTGCGCAGCAACGTGATTGGTGTGGTGCAAGTCCGCCGCCTTCGCCCTGCCTATACTGCAAGTGGGTTCTTCACGCTGAAACCCCAAGCCTTAAACCCTGAGCCTCACTGCAGTTTCTTCACCTCACCCCACCCAGATTCCCTTCCCTCGGCACCCCTCCACCCGTTTCCTTACAGCTGCGTCCTCTCTCTCCCCTTTCCTGTCCATCCTCTCGCCCCTCCTGCAGTAGCTAGCAGAGATTACCTTGGATGGAATGTCCGCTCTGGTCCTGACACCCACCGGGGAGTTCGCCCTGCAGATCGCCGACCACGTCACACGGCATGGTGCCACTTTCCTGCCACACACATCCTCTAACTCCCTTACCTGTACCTGCTCACCCGCCCCTCGCCCCTCCTGAAGAAGCTAGCAGAGGATACTTTGGATGGCGTGTTCGCCCTGGTGCTGACGCCCACGCCCACCAGGGAGCTGGCCCTGCAGATCGCCGACCAGTTCCGGGCTCCTCTTTCCCCTCCCCACGCACGTTCCCCTCCTGCATTGCACCCCTCCACTCCACCTGTGCTGCCCTCCTCTCACCTGTGCAGAAACTAGCTGAGGACCCTTATGGCGTGTTCGCCCTGGTCCTGACGCCCACCAGGGAGCTTGTTCTGCAGATCAGATCGCCGACCAGTTCACACGGATCCTCTCTCCCCCACACATACATCCTCTCCCTCCCTCACCTGTACCTGTCCACCCACCCCCTCGCCTTCCCTGCAGAAACTAGCCGAGGATCCCTATGGTGTCTTCGCCCTGGTGCTGACCCCCACCAGGGAGCTCACCCTGCAGGTCGCTGATCAGTTGCGGGCTCTGCTTCCCCCTCACTCACATGCAGTCTCGCCCTCCCCGTACCTTTCCATCCACTCGGGCCCTTTGCAAAGATTAGCACAGGATCCCTATGGGGTGTTTGCGCTCGTTTTGATTCTGACCCCCACCAGGGAGCTAGCCCCGCAGATCGCCGACCAGTTTCAGGCCCTGCCTCCCCCACACGCACATTCATCTTCTCCCCCCCACCGCCTTGCATGTGCCGCTTCCCCCATGGAGTATTCGCTCTCGTCCTCACGCCCACCAGGGAGCTCGCTCTGCAGATCCAGCGGACCAGTTTCGGGACACTTTTCCCCAACCCAACCTCTTTTCCTTCCCTCTGCACCGCTCCGCCCGCCCCGGCTTTCCCTCTGCAGAAGCTAGCAGAGGATCCGTATGGCGTGTTTGCCCTGGTCCTCACCCCCACCAGGGAGCTTGCTCTGCAGATCGCTGACCAGTTCCGGGCTCTGGGGTCATCGCTTTCTCTGCGCTGCGCTATTGCTATTGGCGGGGGTGATATGGTGGAGCAGGTGAGAAGGGGGGGTGGGGCGGGAAGGGGGTGGGGGTGCCACTTACTACACACACGTGCATGTGCGAATGCATTGTTTCTCCCACCCACCTACACACCTGCTCCTCTCACCTGCTCCTCTCACCTGCTCCTCTCACCTGCTCCTCTCACCTGCTCCTCTCACCTCCCCTCCTGCCCGGTCTGCACGCCATGCAAGTAGCAAGTCAGTCAGACACACGTGGTGATGGTGGTGATCCCAAGACGGCTCAGTCAGAACCGCTGCATCTGTGCATTCACCCATGGATGCAACTCTCGTTTGTTTTTTGAGAATTCTCAAAAAACACATCTGTGCATTCACCCGTGAATGCAACTTTCGTTCCCCACCTCTCCCCTCTTCCCGCTTATTTGCTCGTCCCACCTGCCCCGCCTCACTACACCCCCTCGCCTTCCACCCTCGCGTTCCCGCTTGCCTGCCCTTATTCCCCTCAGGCCATGCAACTAGCGAGTCGGCCGCACATGGTGGTGGCAACGCCAGGGCGACCACGGGCACTCACTTGTGATAGCAACCCTCCTCTCTTCCCTCTTCCCTCTTCCCTCTTCCCTCTTCTCTCCCCCCTCTTCTCTCCCCCCTCTTCTCTCCCCCCTCTTCTCTCCCCCCTCTTCTCTCCCCCCTCTTCTCTCCCCCGTCGCCTGCCCCTCAGGCCATGCAGCTGACGGGTCGGCCACATGTGGTGGTGGCAACGCCGGGGCGACTGAGGGAGATGCTGGATCAAGAGGAGAGCATGGGGCGCGTGTTTAGCAACCTGCAGGTGCATGGGTGTTCCGCATGGAATTGGAATGCACAGGGAATGGGTGGCATGGGCAGATGTTTCTATTGCTGCTGATTCCATTGCTCTCTCCCTTGGTGCTTGCTTTCTCTCTTCCACCTCCTTCTCTTGACCACCTCCTTCTCTTGACCACCTCCTTCTCTTGACCACCTCCTTCTCTTGACCACCTCCTTCTCTTGACCACCTCCTTCTCTCGACCACCTCCTTCTCTCAACCACCTCCTTCTCTCGACCACCTACTTCTCTTGACCACCTACTTCTCTTGACCACCTCCTTCTCTTGACCACCTCCTTCTCTTGACCACCTCCTTCTCTTGACCACCTCCTTCTCTTGACCACCTCCCCTCCCCAGTTCCTGGTGTTGGATGAGGCCGATTGCCTACAAGACCGACGCTTTGAGGAGGAGATAGCGGCGATCCTGTTTCCCCTCCCCGCCCTCCCCTCCGCGTCCCCCTCATCTATGTATCCTTCTTCCCCTCCTCCCTCCCTCTCTCTTCCGTTCCCCCCTTTCCCCCCCCCCCCAGTTCTTGGTGTTGGATGAGGCCGATCGTCTCTTGGACCGCGGGTTCGAAGAGGAGATAGCGGCGATTCTGGCGAGGATGCCCAAGGAGAGGCAGACGCTGCTGTTTTCAGCTACTTTCACCGCCAACTTGCACGCCTTGAAGGTGTGTGGGTTGCAAGGGTGTTGCATGGTTACCGCATGTGCGCCCCACATTGTGTCTTCTCCGCCACTTTCACTGCTAACCTGCACGCGCTCAAGGTGTGTGTGTTCTGCCCCGTGCAATTGTTAGGGAAAAGTGAAGCAGGGTTGATGAGCGCAGCCTGAATGGCCAAAGAGAGGCATTCGCTGCTCCCCCCCAGCCCCCACCACGCCTGCATGCCGTCAAGGTGAGTGCTGCACATGCCAGTCGCGCTGTTCCTTCAGAAGCTATTGTCCCTTCCACCTTCCATGTTCTTCTCTTTGCACATTCACGACCAAACTGCACGCCCATACCCATGCCATGCGCTGCCCATGCCGCATGCTCATGCCTTATGCCCCGATTCATTTGCACTGCAACCCATTATGCACACACACACAGGCCTACGAGGGCTTTAAGACAGTCGAGGCGCTGGGCACAGGCGCTGCCTGCCAACGTGCGAGACGTCTACCTCTGCCGCCTCCTCTCCGGCCTCCTGTTGACCCATCCTCTAATCCCTCTTTTTCTGTGTCCTCTACCCCATTCACACACACACGCACGCAGGCCATGAGCAGGACCAAGAAGCTGTTTCACTTTGAGGCCTACGAGGGCTTTAAATCATTTTTTTCGAAAACTTTTGCTCTTAAAGAATTTTCTGGACAGCGGAGGCTTTGGATCAAACGTACCTCTTCCTCCCTACCAATGTGCGAGAACCCTGACCCCTGTGCTGTTGATGCTGTTGAGCCATCCCCTGTGCTGTTGAGCCATCCCCTGTGCTGTTGAGCCCCCTGTGCTGTTGAGCCATCCCGTGTGCTGAGCCATCCCCTGTGCTGTTGAGCCATCCCCTGTGCTGTTGAGCCATCCCCTGTGCTGTTGAGCCATCCCCTGTGCTGTTGAGCCATCCCCTGTGCTGTTGAGCCATCCCTGTGCTGTTGAGCCATCCCCTGTGCTGTTGAGCCATCCCCTGTGCTGTTGAGCCATCCCCTGTGCTGTTGAGCCATCCCTGTGCTGTTGAGCCATCCCCTGTGCTGTTGAGCCATCCCCTGTGCTGTTGAGCCATCCCCTGTGCTGTTGAGCCATCCCCTGTGCTGTTGAGCCATCCCCTGTGCTGTTGAGCCATCCCTGTGCTGTTGAGCCATCCCTGTGCTGTTGAGCCATCCCCTGTGCTGTTGAGCCATCCCCTGTGCTGTTGAGCCATCCCCTGTGCTGTTGAGCCATCCCCTGTGCTGTTGAGCCATCCCTGTGCTGTTGAGCCATCCCCTGTGCTGTTGAGCCATCCCTGTGCTGTTGAGCCATCCCCTGTGCTGTTGAGCCATCCCCTGTGCTGTTGAGCCATCCCTGTGCTGTTGAGCCATCCCCTGTGCTGTTGAGCCATCCCTGTGCTGTTGAGCCATCCCCATGTGCTGTTGAGCCATCCCCTGTGCTGTTGAGCCATCCCCTGTGCTGTTGAGCCATCCCCTGTGCTGTTGAGCCATCCCCTGTGCTGTTGAGCCATCCCCTGTGCTGTTGAGCCATCCCCTGTGCTGTTGAGCCATCCCCTGTGCTGTTGAGCCATCCCCTGTGCTGTTGAGCCATCCCCTGTGCTGTTGAGCCATCCCCTGTGCTGTTGAGCCATCCCCTGTGCTGTTGAGCCATCCCCTGTGCTGTTGAGCCATCCCCTGTGCTGTTGAGCCATCCCCTGTGCTGTTGAGCCATCCCCTGTGCTGTTGAGCCATCCCATGTGCTGTTGAGCCATCCCCTGTGCTGTTGAGCCATCCCTGTGCTGTTGAGCCATCCCCTGTGCTGTTGAGCCATCCCCTGTGCTGTTGAGCCATCCCCTGTGCTGTTGAGCCATCCCCTGTGCTGTTGAGCCATCCCCTGTGCTGTTGAGCCATCCCATGTGCTGTTGAGCCATCCCCTGTGCTGTTGAGCCATCCCCTGTGCTGTTGAGCCATCCCCTGTGCTGTTGAGCCATCCCCTGTGCTGTTGAGCCATCCCCTGTGCTGTTGAGCCATCCCCTGTGCTGTTGAGCCATCCCCTGTGCTGTTGAGCCATCCCCTGTGCTGTTGAGCCATCCCCTGTGCTGTTGAGCCATCCCCTGTGCTGTTGAGCCATCCCCTGTGCTGTTGAGCCATCCCCTGTGCTGTTGAGCCATCCCCTGTGCTGTTGAGCCATCCCCTGTGCTGTTGAGCCATCCCCTGTGCTGTTGAGCCATCCCCTGTGCTGTTGAGCCATCCCATGTGCTGTTGAGCCATCCCCTGTGCTGTTGAGCCATCCCATGTGCTGTTGAGCCATCCCCTGTGCTGTTGAGCCATCCCCTGTGCTGTTGAGCCATCCCCTGTGCTGTTGAGCCATCCCCTGTGCTGTTGAGCCATCCCCTGTGCTGTTGAGCCATCCCCTGTGCTGTTGAGCCATCCCCTGTGCTGTTGAGCCATCCCCTGTGCTGTTGAGCCATCCCCTGTGCTGTTGAGCCATCCCCTGTGCTGTTGAGCCATCCCCTGTGCTGTTGAGCCATCCCTGTGCTGTTGAGCCATCCCCTGTGCTGTTGAGCCATCCCCTGTGCTGTTGAGCCATCCCCTGTGCTGTTGAGCCATCCCCTGTGCTGTTGAGCCATCCCCTGTGCTGTTGAGCCATCCCATGTGCTGTTGAGCCATCCCCTGTGCTGTTGAGCCATCCCCTGTGCTGTTGAGCCATCCCCTGTGCTGTTGAGCCATCCCCTGTGCTGTTGAGCCATCCCTGTGCTGTTGAGCCATCCCCTGTGCTGTTGAGCCATCCCCTGTGCTGTTGAGCCATCCCCTGTGCTGTTGAGCCATCCCCTGTGCTGTTGAGCCATCCCCTGTGCTGTTGAGCCATCCCCTGTGCTGTTGAGCCATCCCCTGTGCTGTTGAGCCATCCCCTGTGCTGTTGAGCCATCCCCTGTGCTGTTGAGCCATCCCCTGTGCTGTTGAGCCATCCCCTGTGCTGTTGAGCCATCCCCTGTGCTGTTGAGCCATCCCCTGTGCTGTTGAGCCATCCCCTGTGCTGTTGAGCCATCCCCTGTGCTGTTGAGCCATCCCATGTGCTGTTGAGCCATCCCCTGTGCTGTTGAGCCATCCCCTGTGCTGTTGAGCCATCCCCTGTGCTGTTGAGCCATCCCCTGTGCTGTTGAGCCATCCCCTGTGCTGTTGAGCCATCCCCTGTGCTGTTGAGCCATCCCCTGTGCTGTTGAGCCATCCCCTGTGCTGTTGAGCCATCCCCTGTGCTGTTGAGCCATCCCCTGTGCTGTTGAGCCATCCCCTGTGCTGTTGAGCCATCCCTGTGCTGTTGAGCCATCCCCTGTGCTGTTGAGCCATCCCCTGTGCTGTTGAGCCATCCCCTGTGCTGTTGAGCCATCCCCTGTGCTGTTGAGCCATCCCCTGTGCTGTTGAGCCATCCCCTGTGCTGTTGAGCCATCCCCTGTGCTGTTGAGCCATCCCCTGTGCTGTTGAGCCATCCCCTGTGCTGTTGAGCCATCCCTGTGCTGTTGAGCCATCCCCTGTGCTGTTGAGCCATCCCCTGTGCTGTTGAGCCATCCCCTGTGCTGTTGAGCCATCCCCTGTGCTGTTGAGCCATCCCCTGTGCTGTTGAGCCATCCCCTGTGCTGTTGAGCCATCCCCTGTGCTGTTGAGCCATCCCCTGTGCTGTTGAGCCATCCCCTGTGCTGTTGAGCCATCCCCTGTGCTGTTGAGCCATCCCCTGTGCTGTTGAGCCATCCCCTGTGCTGTTGAGCCATCCCATGTGCTGTTGAGCCATCCCCTGTGCTGTTGAGCCATCCCCTGTGCTGTTGAGCCATCCCCTGTGCTGTTGAGCCATCCCCTGTGCTGTTGAGCCATCCCCTGTGCTGTTGAGCCATCCCCTGTGCTGTTGAGCCATCCCCTGTGCTGTTGAGCCATCCCCTGTGCTGTTGAGCCATCCCCTGTGCTGTTGAGCCATCCCCTGTGCTGTTGAGCCATCCCCTGTGCTGTTGAGCCATCCCTGTGCTGTTGAGCCATCCCCTGTGCTGTTGAGCCATCCCCTGTGCTGTTGAGCCATCCCCTGTGCTGTTGAGCCATCCCCTGTGCTGTTGAGCCATCCCCTGTGCTGTTGAGCCATCCCCTGTGCTGTTGAGCCATCCCATGTGCTGTTGAGCCATCCCCTGTGCTGTTGAGCCATCCCCTGTGCTGTTGAGCCATCCCATGTGCTGTTGAGCCATCCCATGTGCTGTTGAGCCATCCCCTGTGCTGTTGAGCCATCCCCTGTGCTGTTGAGCCATCCCCTGTGCTGTTGAGCCATCCCCTGTGCTGTTGAGCCATCCCCTGTGCTGTTGAGCCATCCCCTGTGCTGTTGAGCCATCCCCTGTGCTGTTGAGCCATCCCCTGTGCTGTTGAGCCATCCCCTGTGCTGTTGAGCCATCCCCTGTGCTGTTGAGCCATCCCATGTGCTGTTGAGCCATCCCCTGTGCTGTTGAGCCATCCCCTGTGCTGTTGAGCCATCCCCTGTGCTGTTGAGCCATCCCCTGTGCTGTTGAGCCATCCCCTGTGCTGTTGAGCCATCCCTGTGCTGTTGAGCCATCCCCTGTGCTGTTGAGCCATCCCCTGTGCTGTTGAGCCATCCCGTGTGCTGTTGAGCCATCCCCTGTGCTGTTGAGCCATCCCCTGTGCTGTTGAGCCATCCCCTGTGCTGTTGAGCCATCCCCTGTGCTGTTGAGCCATCCCCTGTGCTGTTGAGCCATCCCCTGTGCTGTTGAGCCATCCCTGTGCTGTTGAGCCATCCCCTGTGCTGTTGAGCCATCCCCTGTGCTGTTGAGCCATCCCCTGTGCTGTTGAGCCATCCCCTGTGCTGTTGAGCCATCCCCTGTGCTGTTGAGCCATCCCCTGTGCTGTTGAGCCATCCCCTGTGCTGTTGAGCCATCCCCTGTGCTGTTGAGCCATCCCCTGTGCTGTTGAGCCATCCCCTGTGCTGTTGAGCCATCCCCTGTGCTGTTGAGCCATCCCCTGTGCTGTTGAGCCATC